TTTCAATGATTTTAGACAGCAAAGGCAAATTTAAAATTGTCCTGTAATTATTAACTTCTGCTAGGTAATATATATACATACATACATGCACATGCATGCACAAGTACACACATATACATGCACACATGGAAAATTTAGCCCCTTTCTTAATTTAAAGGTTTGGTTGTTTTATGCTTGAAGTAGAAGTTGCATTTTTTTTTTAAGTTTCACTGTGTAGAGGAAGTTTGGTTTTGGGGCTCTGTTGTACATCTGCACACACATTGTGCCTCTCATGGCTTCTTTTAAGTGGATATACATCACTTACAGAATTACCCTATACTAAGATAGTGGAATATTATGTAACATATACTGTATTTCGTGTAATGCAAACTCATAAGTGGAGAGAAAACCCGTACAGTATCTGCAAATAAACTTGTCTTTCTCTTTATGATTCAGTATACTGAATCCTGTGTGATTACGTATTCAAAATGTGTGGGTGAGGTATCCATTTCTTGCTACCAGACTGTGACAGCATGCTCATTTTCTTGACAATCTACCTGCCACATTTGTTGCAGTCAAAAAAATGAGAGAGATGAGGAGGGAGGGAGTCCTTATAAATTTTCATAACTGTGTATTGTGGGATACAAGATTATGTCCTGGAGTGATTAGTATTCTAATGAGGAACTGATACGAGCATGATCATTTTTCTCAGTAGCGAACACAGAGATTCGTAATATTGTTACTTGCAGTTTTATCTATTATTTCAATAAAATACATACATTTTTTGTAGGGGAAAAAAAATTTTAAAAATCATGTTATTGTAAAATGTTTAGATTTTTTTTAAAAGATACATAATGAAAAATTTGTCAACCGTAAAATATTTGTGAATTTTAAATTTAAACCCGAATAATTATTTAACCACATAATTTAATCATTTTTTTTACTTTCCCATTAGTCGTTAACATCCAGAAACAAATTATAATTCTGGTTTAATTTTTACCACATACTGTAAACACCATTAGCAACCCTTTTCAGCATAAAACATTGAAAGGGTTTTCCCCTTTTTACACCTATGCTCACCTACAGGGACTGTACATGCTCTTCCCCCGGGGGTTTAATGTTACCCTTTTTATATTAGCTTTTTTTATCTATTTTAATTTTTTTATTGTTAAAATTGATTTTTTTTGAAACCCCTTTTTGCTTTTAATACTTACATTTCTGAACTTGCGCATTGAATTCTTTTAAAACTGTTCACACCCCTGTTTACCCAAAAGCTTTCCCAAAAAAAGGGGGATAGAGTGACCCTGGAAATTAGACATTTCTGCCTAATTTCAGTGAAAATATATTAACAAATAAATAATACTATACAGAACAGCATAAATACATTTGGATCAGACTTGTTAAAAAATACTGGACCATGCTGCACCAAGCCCCAAAGTGCATTTATAATAATAATAAAAAAACCTGTGCCACCCACTTCTGGTTTGTCTGGGATTTGGTTCCAATTTGTAGAATTTAGATATGTGAAATGTGACTGTGTTACGGAGATAATAATAATAATAATAATAATGACCACGGTTTAACTCTCTGTCTTGTCATATGAGGTCAAGATAATTTCCCTGTGAAATTAATTAACCCTTAAACTGTCCAAACATAGATCTACATCCACGTGCGGGGGCTCCGAACGTAAATCTACTTTTTTTTACTTGCTTTCAGATGGGGAAAATCAAGTTCGGAGTGCTACGCATGTAAACATAGATCTATGTTTGGACAGTTTAAGGGTTAACCATGAAAAAATTTGTTTTTATTTCAGAATTATTGTGCATACATAAACAATTTAAAATAATCTGAAGGCCCATAGGATGCATAGCATTTTGGGCAAAAGTTAATTTAGTCTTAAAAATCTACATAAGGCTTTCAACATAAGATCTTCATCTTTCCATATCTATTAATAAAATTAATTAATATTTTCTATTGTAAATTGAAAAAATATATTAAATACTTTTTTGATAAATTACGATATATAAAAAGTTTATTTCTGTCAACAAGAGCCTACAAATATTCAAAAAAGTTTACTGTGTATAAATTGTTAGAGCAATTTTTATTTACAATTCATAATATACAGTATTCTAATTTACTTCAAAATTGGCATTCATAAGTAATGTTAATGAAAAGTTTGATTAATTTTAATACTTTTATTCTGGTTGAAAATTACATCAATGAGAATAATAAAAGAACCATTATTCAGAAATGCCTTGCCAAATATTGCAAGATACTTAGTGTACTGTACTGTATTCTATAATTTTAATACTGTTCTACCAAGTGCTTTTAGGTTTGGTGTGAATTGACCACAGTTATGATATCAAGTTAAATACAATTTACAAGTTTAGCAAAATCCAAGATTATCTTCTTGCATGAGCAAGTGTAAAATGGTAGCCCAAAACTCAGTATAATATTCAAAAAAGTGGTATTTTATTAAAATATACAGTATAACAAATGACATTTAACATTCCATTTAAGTGTTCCAGTAGTGAATCTACTAAACATTTATTACCTTTGAGGAGGGTGCTTTGATTCCATTAAAGGATGCTTGATACAAGGAACTGGAGTTACCCTCCTTTACCTTGGATTAACCTGATTGCCTCTCATTTCCACAGATGCTCTATGACCTCTGCAGGTTTAGTATTTCCCCTTGAAAATAATAGTAAAAATAATAAATATATATCTGCTACACAGTTAATCTCATACAGATACAGGGAAAGGGTAGTGAAGTCCTCACTTTATAAACATGCAAGTTATGAATATCTGCACTTATAAACAAGGTCTGTAAGAATTAATATTCTTTATCAATATCAAGGCCATTTGCCTTGATATTGATGAAGAACTCTTGATCAAAGGAATGGAGTTACACTGACCTTCCTAAGATCAACCTTGATTACTCTGCATTCCTCAGGAACTGTACGATTCTTATGGATATAGCACCTCCTACAAATATGGGAATGACCATCTACAGTTACAAACATGTTTGGTTCATAACCAACGTTTGTACTATACTATTATTTTAAATAATAAATTAGGTTAAGAATTACAAACAATTTGTTCAAAAGTTGGAACACAAATGCATTTCATCTATTAAGTGGGGACTCCCTGGTAAGTTGATTTTGTTGCCCATGCGCATATGTTGCATATTCCCAGAAAAATGTCAGTTTACTTTAAAATAATAGTTGAACCACTGAACAATCTAATGAGCAGATCCTGGAAAAAGTGGCCAATGATTATATTTTATTACCTGTAATGTACAGTATTATTGATGATTTTTTGTGGATAAAATTTTACAATTCAGGTACAGTATGTACTGTGAACTTAAGCATTTCTTTCAATTTTCAGCAGTTCGTCATTTATAATAGGTCAAGATTGGGGAGGACACATATATAGTAATCTGTTTCATTTTTAACCAGAAAGGAATTTACAGTATTCCGTAATGAAAGGCTTATGCAGTAATAAATAATTAGAATTTTCATTTTAAGGATATACTACTTTAGTTATACATTGGTACCTCAGGATACGAACTTAATTCGTTCCAGAAGGCTGTTTGAGTGGTGATATCGAACAAATTTATTCCCATAAGGAATAATGTAAATTAGATTAATCCATTACAGACCCCCAAAAATACACTTACAAAAGCACTTACATAAATACACTTACATAATTGTTCGAGTTTTGAGCTGTTCGTAACCCGAGGTACCACTGTATTTTGAAGCATGTTACTACTACTGCTACTACTTTAGCTCATTTTTAATGCTTTGTTATTATGATGCTAGTTGGTATACTTGGTTTGTCCAGTGAATTCAAACTTTAGATAATTCTCTGTTTTATAGCTATATTCTTCAGTGACACATCTGTAAGTATGTTACTATAGATATTTCCTTGCAAGATGTTTGTGTTTAGTACATTGATGGCTGGCCAACTTTTCCATTTATTTATTATATATAAAGTGGTCTTGATACTATGCACCATGCAAGTTTGGTCAAATGAATACTTTTGCACTCATAATTAATTCATCCATTTGAAACCCTATGGTCATAAGGCATGTCAGTTTAGGTGAGGCATGGACTGAAAGCCAGTTTTGAATGTGATGTAATAAAGCATAAAACCTTATTGTAGTCTTAGTGTGATATGAGCCGCACTGTATATTTCTTTTGTAAAGTACACTTGCCTTGCCTGTTTATTTGTTTCTCGATAGAGTACATACATGTATATATCAACTTCACTCCATTCCCAAGGAAATGAGGTTCATCAGTCTCACTACTAAATAACAGTGCATCAGTTTATCCTCTCCTTATGATGGTTTAGTTACTTTTTAGACACTAGTATTTTTATTGTTGTAAATAACTTAATTTTAATTTATTTCAGTGCATAAACTATGCCTGCGATTAAAAGCAGTTTATTGTACATACCTATTTATACTTGTATTCCAAACTTTCATGAATGTGTGAACAAGCATTATGTGCAAATACTAGTTAAGAACTCAAATAATATTTATGATATCTAATTTTATGCACCTTAAATGAAATTAGCTGACTGCTATGCATATGGAGCTGTAACAAAGAAAATTTAGTAGGCTTTTAAAACTGGTTGAAGTATTTTTATCATGTTGAGAATGTTTTGAAATTTAAACTTATGAGTGTGGACCTCACATTTTGATAGGTGATTCAAAGTTTAAAGGGATGATAATGACAAAGTAGTCTATTTAAAACAGTTATGTATTATTAAATTGTATGATGAATTTGTAAATAAAAAACAATAGTTAAAAGCCTTTAGTTAAAAGCCTTTTACTCTTTAACATGTATTATTTTATTATTGCATATATGTGAACAAATGCTTTTCTTAATTTGTCTTTTACTCACAACTTTGTAGCTCACATGTGGCTATTGTGAGAGGAGTTTGTTGTCATTTTTGCTTCTCATCACATATTTACAAAATCCAAGATCAGTACTATTGTACAGTATTTCTTTTTTCAGATTTGGACCTTCCATGATGCTGATCACCTGTGTCACATTTACATAATTTACAGTGGCCTTCATTTTGACTTCCATTTTGTATTAGGCTAAAAATCTTTCTTAAAATTCTAGTGATGTCATTGGTACAGTATGTGAAATTAATTTTGTTCAACTGAGCATTCTGGAAACATCACTCATTTTGATAGATCAAACTGACATTAGCTGATTGATATATTGTTCTAAATACTTTAAATCCAAGTGGGATTATTAAGAAATGTAGGAATTAGGTATGAAAGTCTGAACTTGATATTGCATATGGGACACAGTCATAAAACTACTAGACTGAATACGTATATTGTTCAACCACTAAGGTTTATGAAAAGGAAGCTGATGTCAAATAACTCAGCTCTTCTAAAAGCATTACATCATTTTTTTTTTTTTTTTTTTTTTGGGGGGGGGGGACTATTTAGTAGGAATGAGGTCTAAATAATTTCTGTTGTATTTACTGCATTATATCAGGCTTGCAAGAAGAAGGATAAGTATACCTGAAGGTACAGCAAAAAACATGGAAAAAGAGTGCAATTGTTGAACTAAAAAAAATCTCATGGGATGCCATTTACAAAGATGGTACTAACATCTATAGAAGTCAATTGCAACTTTTTTTTGACTTGGGTATATAGTAATATTATCTGAAAAAGTACATTGCATAGGTGTGAAAACGAGGAAACTGTAGAACTGTACATTATATAACAATTACAATTACAAATGTGGGAGTTTACATAGGTTACAAAGTACTGTATGTATTTAAATTTGCATATACATGTACATTGCATTTTAGCCATGACTAAAGTTACAATTTTAAAAGATGATTATGTTATACAAAGTGTGTGTTATATTAATAAAAAATTTCAAACTTATAATAATTTATCGCACCACATGAACAACCATGGTTATAGTGGAAGATTGGTAGCACCAATGGCACTATGGGCTTTATTTTTCAAGGCTTCCCATACAAGCAATGCAGTGACTGTGAACACAGTCACTGCATTGCTACATACATGGAAACCCATGACTCTGTTCCCTCTCACTTCAAAACTTAACATTCCCATAAATCTGTAATCCATTAGATATGCACTTATTTGGTGGAAGGATAGCAGTTCTATATATATATTTCACAAATATGGATATCTTACCCTGCTTAACAATCTCTCAGCACCTCATTGCAGTACCATCCTCAAAAGTGAAAAATTATACTAATTTCTTAATAATTTTTTACCAAATCTAAGCAAAGCACATGCATCAAGCATCTATATACAAAAAATGAATGCAATTGGTCAAATAACCATCAGGAAAAAGTTTATTTATATTGTTGTATATGGAGGTGTCTCATAGCTCGGTTGGGAGCTTGCTCAGCTCATACATTGGGCATGTTTCCTTAAGACACCTGCTGTCCCTGTTCATCTAGCAGCAATTAGGCACCTGGGTGTTAGCCAACAGGTGTGGGTTGCATCCTGGAGACAAAATTAACCCAAGTTGCCCAAAATTCTCTGCATAACCAGGGTCTTTCTTTATAGTACATCATTGATGTTAGCTAGGTCTGTATAAGTTGTATCATGTACTTGTAAAAATAAAGATGATTATTATTATTATATGTAGTAATTTTTTGCATGTTCAGAGTTTCAATACAGTATATTGGGTAGCTGAATTCATAAAATATTAAAAAGTTGGTTGTAAAAAAGCTGAACCTGGTATAAAAGAAAATCAGAGGATCCTACTCTGTCATTTCTCTATTAATTAAATTGGCAAGGCAATATCAGGTCACTGTCAGTGATTGTAAATGATAAAGACTGTAAACTAATACTTTTATTCTATATTTATTTAGAATTAATACAGAAGAGTAACATTCAGACTCGTGATGTAATTCTACAGGGTGTCTTTCCAAAGGTATTTGTATCCCCCTCAAGGGATGTGCACTGATGCTGGTTAAGAAGCTGTATCTGAAGGGTGGGACTCATCTTCCCTTTCTTGGATCAAACCTGAATGTTTCTTGTTCACCAGGCACTATATAGCCACTCTGAGTCACATAGCACACCCATGTACTCGTATATAACCACTGGGGCATGTATGTGTGTGCTTTTCCTGATTAAAATGAATAAATTAAAATCCAATGGTATGTGAGAGTCATATGTAACTGATTCATAAATGTGTGAGCATAGCTTCCCATGCCCAACAACTATGGAAGGAGGGCCAGAGATTTAATTGCAGTTCAGTGGCATAAAATTTGTCCTCTGACTTCAGCCAATGCTGTTTCCATCAGTTTTGAAGTCCCTGGAAAAATAAAAAAAATGAGGACTCAGCTGTAGATTGCCAGACCGTGAATAGCAGACTGATCAGCTGAGTGTGTGTTGTTGCCCTGAGAATTAGTTAATCCAGGGACCCAGTATTATTACATTCATGGGAAAAGGATTGGGGGGGGGATGCTAATCTCATAGGTTTTACAGTGCCTGGGGAAATGTGAAGCATCAGGTTTGATCCAAGGGAATGTCAGGTACAATTCATTTGATCAAGAGTCCATCATCAATGTGAGGGAACCTCCTTTGAGGTGAAAACGACCATAGTTACAAAGTGCAGTATGATGGAATGTAGAGTCATATACATATCTATATTCTTGGACAGCTTGTAATTCACTTCGAATTTGAAACAACAAAGAATGCAATGAATATGGTTACAGTGTATATAACAGCAATGAGTTTTGCGCATCACTCTGCTGTGAAAATGCTGACCCCTCTCTAATAAATGGCAGTGCTATATAACCCTTGTCTGTGCACGGAAGCCCAAATACCTACAGTTGCTCATTCTCTTTTTCTTAACCACTTCTTGTCTCATTCTCATGCCTTCGCAGTGTACATTGATGGTTCTAAATCCTCTGATGGTGTAGTTTCAGACTCCTTTCGTGCTTAGCAAACTATTAAAAAATTTGATTCGCCTCGTCCCCTAGCTCTTCGTATACAACTTTGGTTGCACTGCATTTCTAGCAAAAACAAAGAAATCATTTTCTGTTGGGTCCCTGGTAGTGTTGATGTTCGGGGTAATGAACAGACTGACTCCTGTGCTGTCAGCAGTACATGACCTCCCAGTTTCATATACAGTGGATCCTCAGTTTTATGATTAATCCGTTCTAAAAAGTCTGACGAAAACCAAATAGTACAAAAACTGAAGCAATATTTCCCATAAGAAATACATAATGTAAATCTAATTAATCCATTCCAGACACTCAAAAATAATAACAAAAAATACATTTTATAGAGAATAACTATAGTTTTACATACAGAAAACAATGAGAAATAAATAAAAATGACTAATGAAATGGATAAATGAACATTTAACATCATTTTTACCTTTATTGAAGACTCTTGTTGGCATATGGAAGACAGCGAGGAGGAGGAAAGGTTATTGTTTGGAAGGGGAATCCCCTTCTATAGGGACTTCATGTATCAATGAGAAAAAAAAAAAATCAAGGCCAAGGCCCTATCTGGGGTTACATCCCTTCTTTGTCTTTTACTGGCACTAGGACCAGTTGAGAGTCACTGTACCCCTGTCACTCAAAAAATCTGTCCAGAGAGGTCTCTTTCTGGAATCTCTAAGATTGGCCTAAAATGGAACAAGGCAGTCTTTGAACATGTTGTAGACACAGCTTGCAACAGCTTTGTTAGGGGTGATATTTCTCTACAAAACTTTGCAACTCACTCCACTTTGCACACATGTCCTTAATCACAAGAAGGCACATTCTCCCCTCTCTCTTCCTCCTCCTCTGAAGCAATTTCCTCAGCTGCAGTCTGTTGCTGTTTCAGTTGAAGGTCTTGCAGCTCTTCAGTAGTTAAATCTTCCCTGCAGTCATCCACCAACTCTTCCACATCTTGGCCACTCACATCCAACCCCACGTACTTCCCAAAAGACGCAATATTCTATCGTGTTTCTCGCCTTATTTAGCAGTCGCACTCAATTAACAAGCACAAAAAACAATGAATTACAGTAGACCGTCATTTAGCACGAGTTTATTTGGCACAATTTGGGTATTGCACGATTGAAGAATTGAGGCACAATTTCATGTAACACATCGTATAATTAATTTAACACGGTTCAGTTTATGGGAAGGAAAAAAAAAAATTCTCTTTTCCTCAAGCGGCCGCCTTGTTGTGGAGCAGCCTGGGAGACCTGCCATCCCCTGACACTCCCTGACACCACCCCCACCATCCCAGCATTCGTAATTCATATGTGTCTAGTCTTTTTCTGCTACAAGGCAGCTGTGTTTGTGAATTGTGTTATGATATTTTAATTACTATATCTTTTATCTGCCAAGCAATCATGACACCCAGTAGCCATACCAGTGTTGCTGAAAGTGGCACGAAGAGGTATAAGCACTTAAGTCTTAGAATTAACAAAGAAACAAAGATATTAGACAGATAACCTGTAGCCATAATGAAATGTTACTTTGTACACAGAAAAAGAGGTAAGCATTAGTTTGTGTGAGTGACTGACTGAATGACGACTGACTTACTGAATGACTTGACAGACTTAGTGACTTGACTGACTTACTGAGTGACTTGACTAACTTACTGAGTGACTTAATGACTTGACTGACTGACTGAATGACAGTTTACGAGTGATTTGACTGGCTGACTTACTGAATGACTAAGTTAGACACTCCAGTACAGCCATCGACTTCAGTACCAGAACCTCTACCATCCACCTCAGCCCTGTAAGGTCACAGCATAACTCCTCTCTCTTCACAATCATCCACGAACACCAGCACCCACAATTTAAGGTAAAAAATACTATTATTTCTGTTACATTTATAGTCTTAAGTAGTAAAAACAACATAATACATCAAAACAATGAACTACAACTACATATTCACTTTTATTTTTGTAAGATGTGGAGGCCTAAAAAAGTTGTTTGGCTTTTCGGGGGCTCCCAGGAATGTAACCCTATTTTTCCCATAAGTTCTTCAGTTCATCTTACACGATTTTACCTAACACGGCATTTTCAGGAACGTAACTTCTGTGCTAAATGACGGTCTACTGTATTACGAAATATTTCAGAAGAACAAGCAGGGTGATGCTCACTCAACGAGAAACAAAGGCAGACTGAGTCACGAACGCATGGGATGCTTTGTGTGGGCTCTTGATTGGCCGAGTCTTGCATTCGCTACAGGCCATTTTCAACTCTATGAAAACCAAGCGGATGTACGAAAATTTAGACAAAAAAGTCGTCGAAAACCGAATCCTAGGAAAACTGGGAGCCCTTGTGGTTTAGTGCTTCTGAAAACTGGGGCATATGAAAACCAAGGTTCCACTGTAGAGGTATTCCATTCTCAGACTATTTTGCTGAAATGACCTTTCCAACCATTGGCAACAACTTTGGTCTGAACCCTTCAAGGAAGGTTCCTTGATGCTGGTGAGGGGCTCTTGATCTAGGGAATTAGATCTGTGCTCCACTTCCCTGAATGAAGCCTGAATACCTTCCACATCCCCCCCCCCCACAGGCGCTGTATAATCCTACGGGTTTAGCACTTCCCCCTTGATTATAATACTAATTTGGTCTGAAGACTCATAACAAATTACATTCTGTCAAACTAAGTTTGAGTTTCTGGCCTTCTTGTCATCAATGCCAAGGTTGGGAGACCCCGCTCTCCTGTCTTCACATCAGGCACATCTATCTTACGTGTGGGTATCTCATGGAGAGGTGCCTTGTTCCACTCTGTGGGAATTGTCTGGTTCCAATTTCAGTTTGCCATATTCCATTGGACTGTCCTGTCTTTCAACAAGCACACAGAATTTACCTCCAACGTTGTCACTTGCTGTCACACCCTTACTTTATCTTCTCTCTTTGATGACAGCCCCACCTTTGACACACAACCTATTTGACTTTTTGACAGCAACTGATTTATTACACAAACTTTGATATTCCTTCCTTTAGCACTCCTCACAGCCCTTTCTAACTATTATCCTCTCCACCCTTGCTATACTATAATCCTGCAACACCACCTTCCCTGCAGTGCTGTATGACCCTAGTGGGTTTAGCACTTCTTTTTTATAATAATATATAACCCTTGAGGGTTTAGCACTTAGTTTTGATTGTAATAATAATAATCTGAGTAAATATCGTTGGATTACATTACTATTTGGAAATACAACTACATATTTTACTTCAAAGGATTGGTGGTTTAGCACTTAGTTTTAATTACACATAATAATTTGGTTTACACCATTATAGCATGAGAATATGATTGAATGTGTTCTGAACTGAGGTATACTTAGCAGAAAGCACTTAACCCGTAGGGGTCATACAGTACGTACCTGGAAAATGGGAGGCAATCAGGTTGATACAAGGGAAGGACAGATCCAATTCCTTGTACTAAGATCCCCTCACCAGCAATAATAATTTATTATAATCAAAAGGAAGTGCTAAACCTACAAGGGTCATACAGCGAGTAATAATAAAAGTATTAGTCAGTGGGCTGAAGAGGGGTTGTTGAGGTGGTTTGGTCATTTAGAGAATGGAACAGAGAATTACTTGGAGAACGAATGCATCTGTAGGGAAAGGAAGGCAGGGTAGGGATCGTCCTTGAAAAGGTTGGAAGGAGTGG